AAAAAAAAAAAAAAAAAAAAAAAAAAAAAAAAACTCATAAAAAAAATTATAAGCAAGCAAGCCCACAAACTTTTTTGTTTTGCATTTATTATATTTGTTTGTTCTTGTTTGCTTTGTGAGTAAACATCTTATTATTATAAAGAAAACCTGCAGGTACGTTTGTCTATAAATATATATAGTTCATACTCCAAATCTAATCAACTTTAACTCAATTCTGTTATCATCAATATTATTAATATAATTAAATAAGATCAATCAATCATTTTTACGCATCACATCAACTTTAATTCAATATTTATCCACTCACACAATTTTAATCAATCATCACTTTATATCAAATCTCTCAAACTATTATATCAAATCAACTTTATATCAAATCTCTCAAACTATTATATCAAATCAACTTTAGTGATTTTATTTTAAATATTATTTTATACATAAATTCAAATTTTCACTAGCAACTAACTATAGCGTATTTTTTTTTTTTTAAATTAACTCTGATTAACAAAAAAAAAAAAATCATTTGGAGTGAATATATTTGTATACAAACACGTCTTCATACTCACACCTATTTCAGAGTAACTATCATATAATTCTTCTCAAACTGATTAGGAACGTATTTTGATATTCAACATCGTAAGAAGTCAAATGTTGGTAATTGAAAGTGTTTGAGACATATATGTCATACGAAATTTAAAGTGATTTATATGTTTTAGCTATTTCAAAAGGGATTGAATCAATTGACACTGATCAATTATTTTGTAACTATAGTTAATTTTATGTTAAAAGATATATCTTGGTATTTTGTGTGGTAAATATTAAAAATACATGGTGATCTAACTGTTTAAAGAGTGACTTGACGATTTTTCAACCCAATATTTATTAATATCCAGGTCAGGTGCAAAACAATATACTTTTCTTATAATATTTAAAAAAGCAAAATATTCATATATAATGAATACAAACTTTAATTGTTGCTATGATATGCTTTTATTTTCTCTCAAAGATCAAAGTTTATGAAAATATCAATTTGAAGATGGACATATTTTATTGTGAAAATAGTTATTTTCATCACGTTAGATTTCTAAGTCGTGTCAAGTTTTTCACATCGTTCACTAAAAGGTTAACTTTTTTATCCCAAAAAGTGCAAAAGACATCGACAGTTGCGCGATGACATTGTGCGAAAGTTAAAAGTGCGAAGGCATTTGCATATCCCTTCGCACTTTCTGAGGTGGAAAAAGTTAAAGTGCAAAGACATTGCACGGAATATGTGACAGTTATGTAATTGATATGCGACAGTTATACACTTAATTCGCATAATTTTCGCACTTTTAGAAATGAAAAAATTAAATTATTAATGAACGGTGTGAAAAACTTTTTTCTATTTTATTCCAAATACTGCAATCATCACATCAGGCGTGGCTCTTTTGTCTTCGTCCGACTAATGATTCATACATAGGTCACGTCACATGCCTAATTCATAAATAATACAAAGATTAATTATTAGAAAGATTAATTATTGTTGCTAGG